GGGCCCCTAACAGTGACTCATGATGTGAGCAGCTTTTCATGTGCTTATTGACCATTGTATACCTTCTTTGAAGAAATGTGTATTCATATCTTGTACCCTTTTTTTTTCTCTTTAATTTCTACTGCTTTGTAATTTTTCCCGTTACCCATTTTAAAAAGTTGGTTATTTTCTTTTATTGTTGAGTTGTAGGAGTTCATCTTATAGTCTGAATCCAGTTTCCCTACTGGATATATAATTTGCAAATATTTTCACCCATTCTTTGGGCTGTCTTTTCTCTTTCTTGATATGGTATCTTTTGAAGCACAAAAGCTTTTAACTTGTTGAAGTCTAGTTTACTTTTTTCCATTGTCACTAGTGATTTTAGTGTCTGATCTAAGGTCATAAAGATTTACTCTCCTATGTTTTCTTGTAAGAATTTGCCAATAAATTTAGAAATCGGGAAGTATGAGTCTTATTACAAGCTTTGTTTATTCCAGATCTCTTGCTTTCCATATAAATTTTAGGATTGACTTGTCAATATCTGTAAAAATTCCAGCTGGGATTTTGATCGGATCCCATTAAATCTATAGATCTTAAGAATTCAATATGTAGATTCAACAATGAACATGTGATAGATTTCTATTTATGTAGGATTCCTTTCATTTCTTTCAGCAATGCTTTATAGTATCCAGAGTACAAATTTAACACTTCTTTGGTTAAATTTTGATGTTATTCTTTTGGTGGTATTATAAATAAAATGTTTTTCTTAATGTCTTTTTTGGATTATTCATTGCAGTGTGTAGAAATACAGTAGACTTTTTTATATTAATCTTACATCCTGCAACCTTGCTAAAATTGTTAATTAGTTCAAATAGGCTTTCAGTGTCTTCTTTAACATTTTAATATATGCAAAATTATGTCATCTGCAAATAGAGGTAGTTTGCTTTCTTTCCAGTGTGAATGCCTTTTTTTCTTGCCTAAACTCTTTCTTGCCTAATTGCCTTGGCTAGGATCTTCAGTATAATACTGAATGCACATGACAAGAGTAGACATCTTTGTTTTATTCATAAAATTTATATTAAAAAAAAATCTACTTGCTCTTATTCTTGAGAGACTAAAACTCATGGCAGAGATAAGATAAACGTGCAATTCAGATTGAATTTCATGTGTGGGGGTATCTTGTGGTGGGCTACAGTAACTAGAGAGGAGTCCTGGTGTGGCTCTGGAGGATCAGCACTGAACTGCTAACTGCAGGGTCACTAGGAGTCAGAACTGACTCAACAGCCGTTAACAACAATATCATATTAGATGGGAAGGCGTTGTGGAAAAAAACTCGAGATTTGGTTTGACTGACAAACGTGGTCATTTTTAAGTGGGTTGGTCAATTGAACTACAAGATGGATAGGAGTTAGTTGTGTGTCTGGGAAGGAAGTCAGTGAGGACAGAGGCTCTGTGGAGCTTTTCTAGAAGAGTCTGAACTCCACTGGAGTGCCTGACTTCCCTCAGATCCCTGCTGCTCCCTGATGGCCTATACCTTCCCTTCACCTGTTAGTAACTCCCTAAACAGTGCTTCTCACAATGGGCCCACTGACCCTCTGAATTAGACGCACCCATGATCATGTCAGGAGATGAATTGACACAGTGGCGGCAGCAATGGGCTCAAGTCTAACAGCAATTGTGAGGAAGGTGCAGGACTGAACAGTGTTTTGCTGTTTTGTGCAGAGTGTCACTATGAGTCGGAACCAACTAACAAAAACATGGTCATGTTATCAGGAGGGGCCAGTCCCTGGAGAAGGACATCATGCTTGGTAAAATGGTGATGTGTCATCGAGTCAGTTCTGATTCGTAATGACCCTATTTAGGGTTTACTAGGCTGTGAATCTTTACTGGAGCAGAAAGCCTCATCTTTCTCCTGCCCAGCAGCTGGTAGATTTGAATTTCTGAGCTTGCAGTTAGCAGCTTGCTCGGCTTGTAATCCACGATGCTACCAGGGCTCTTTCAGTAAAGTGGAGAGTCAGCGGAAAAGAGGTAGACCCTCCAACAAGATGGATAGGCACAGTGGCAGCAGCAAGTGTAGCAGTTGTGAGGATGGCACAGGACTAGGTCGTGTTTCGTTCTGCTGTGAATAGTTTGCTAAGAGTTGGAACTCACGCGAAGGCATCTAATGACAAGTGATGTCTATTAAACATGTAGTCTCCTGTTCTGTACTTAGACCTGCGGTGCAAAATCAGATAGATTCTTGGGAGATGCAGCCTGGAAATCTAATTCCCAGGTGATTCTTATATATCCTGATTTTTGTGAGGTTGGCCCAGGACTGGGCAGTGTTTCATTCTGTTGTGCATAGGGTCACTATGGGTTGGTACCGACTCAATGGCACCTAACAACAACAACAACCTAAAGTACTTGGCACGACATCTGTTCCCAGGCTTTCCCTTCATACAGATCTCCACTCAGACTTAGCAGACGCTGTTCTCTCCAGCTTCATAAGGAAAGTCAAGATTTATCTATTTATTTATTGAGCTCCTTTATTCTCCTTTCCCTTTACCATAACAGACCACAGTGTCTTCATTTCTCTCTCCCTCCTCCGGTAGCTACCCCTGCGCTCGTTTCACCCCTTCCTTCCAGCAGCTGGCTGGGCAAGAATCAGAATAAAGAATTTGAGCACCAAGACAAAGGGCCAAAGAAGGCCTGCAGCAGTGTCATTACCGAGCTGTGCCAGTGTGCAGGGTCAAGCTAGGATAGAGCACCTCCCTCTGGAGGCACAGCTCCTGGGTCTCCATCAGCAGGGTGCCCAAGCATCCAATAGGCACAGTATCTGCAAGGTCTAAATCAATGTGTAAATCATATTTGAGCTATGTTATGCCTTTCTGGGCATTGTGAATCTTTGTGTATGTGTATAAAAGAAAAATAGGTTCTGTTGCATTTTATCGCTACTGTGATTAAAAAAAAAAAGTCTTCTTTTGCACAAACATGTGAGATCTTCACTATTTTGAAAACCCTTTTGTCTGACCCAGCTGCCTTTCCCTCTAGCCATCATCTGATTTCCCCCACCCTTTCCAAGTTAGACTTCTCCAGGGAGATGCTGCATCCATAGTCTGCAAGTCCTTAGCACACTGGGGTTCCCACAAAAGTTAACCAGGGTTTTGCTAGGTGCAAAGACCAGTGGGGTTTTGCTGAAGCCTCTTTGATTGCTCTGCAGCATCTGAGGCAATTGGTCACCTTGTCCTTCCTGAAGTGCGGCCTCCATGACCATCCATCTCCTCTCAGGAGTCTATTCTCTTTCTCCTCTAGTGTGTCACACGCGACAGTCCACTAAGGCTGGACTTGGCTCGTTTGTTCTTCTCTCCCTGTACTCTGCCCCTTCATATGGTGTCTCCAACTCTGAACACAAATGTGTGGCTGCCAGTTCCTTGTTTCTAACTGCCTGTGCACCCTGCTACACCTCAAAGTTCTACCCACCCCCACAGCCCAGCTCAAACACTGTCTCCTCCGGGGTGGCTGACTCACATTCCCAAGCAGAGTTTCTTTCTGTCCCCTGAAATCATAAAGCAGATATTTTAAATCCAATTCCCTTCATTTGTGTGAGGAAGATGAGGCCCAGGGGCCTGCAGCCAAAACCCAAGTTCTCACTAGGGAGCCACTCGTCAGACACCTCCCCCAGTGGGCTTTCCACTCTCCACTCGACCAAGCAATTTCTTAATACCACTAGTGCGCTCAGCCCCTCTTGGGGATTGTGATCATCCATGCATGGAGATTTGGACTATCTGTGAAATGATAAGATCCTTGAGGGAATGCAAGTGTTTCTTACATGTCTCTCAGTTCTCCCTATTGCAGCTTACTTAGGAGTTGTCACCTAGCTAGTGCTCAATAAATATTTAATGGTAAGTGAAATCAGATCAGGTTGTCTTACAGCATTTCCCTGATTAGAGCTTCTCCTCATCCAAGGTAAATGCTTACCGGTTGGCTACTTTAAATATCAGGCTGAGGGGGTGTTTGGAGGCCCTTCTGTATGTACGCAGTGGGAACACTGCCTGTTCTGGGGCAGAAGAGTAAAATGAGGAAAGGTCCATTTGAGGAAGTTTAAATCAGCGGAAGCAAAAGGGAGGTGCAGTAAGGCAGGAGGGAGGAGAGGGGATGGGTCTGGGGAGGGAGATTCGGGAACTGAGACGGGGAGACACGTTAGCCATCTTGAAGAGGGACACCAACAGGACTGAGTAATTGTGATGCAGAGGAGGTGGTGGCTGTGAGTAACAGGCGAGGGAGTGGACCCCTTGAGGATCTTCTGTGGAGAATGTTAGGTGTTCTGAAGGCCAATGTAACACATTTGTTGTTTCCACTTAATTCTCAGAGTAGCCCTTTCCTATCGTATAGATAGGAGACAGACTTGAAGCCTTGAGCCCAGTGTATCAGTCCTCAGAGTTGGTTCTTTGATCTGTCACAAAATAAAGTAGTTTTGTGCTGATTTGATGGTGATAGATCAATCTGAGTCTTCCACCCATGGTATTTTCTTTCGGAGATTGATGTTATTGTTGTTACGTGCCTTGAGTCGGTTCCAACTCATAACGATGCTGCATAGAGTTTCCGAGGAGTGACTGGTGAGCTTGAACCACTGACCTTGGGCTTCACACCGACCTTACTGTCCAGTGCATTAACCCAAAGCACCACACTAGGACTCCTGTGTAGATTGTTGTTAAATGCCGTCGAGTTGATTCTGACCCATAGGAACCCTGTATAGGGTTTCCAAGGAGCAGCTGGTGAGCTTGAACCACCGACTTTGCAGTTCAAACGGCTTTGCAGTCTGGGGCATTAACCCACAGTGCCATAAGATTAGGGACTTCCAAAAATTTATGATCATATCCCCCCTTTTCTTGTGTTCCTCCCTCTCAGGAAGAACTAAAGTTAGATGTAAGGAAGGACTTTGCAATAATGTTAAGAGGCTCCAGAATCGATGGGCTCTATTTTGGAGGAAATCTTGAGGGAACTGTGTTGAGTATCTCCGTCAGCTCAGTCTAGGAACGCAGATGGACGAGGTAACTTCTTCCAGGTTCCTTACAACTCTCAGGTTCAGACAAACTACTCATTAGCCTCCCCCATGACAGCGCCAACTTCGCTTTCCTATGAGACCTGCTGTTGTTTAGACTGTTAAAACTTCTTAATCGCTTCAGCTGAAGCTAAACAGTTGGACATAGAACCAAGTGGCTCTTCATCTGGTCAATCCCATCCCCATCAGAGCACATGGCAGGAACCCTCGTCACTTTCTATGATATTTTCCTTGGAACAGGAAGAGGAGGAGGCAGGCCCTCTTTGGGGATTCCAGCTAGGACCAGAAATATCCCTTTAGGCTGCTATGTGCCAGCCCCTGGGCATACTCTGATGGGCAAGAAGGACTCAATCCATTTCCTCAAGGAATTTATAGTCAATACACAGTTACATACAGTTCATTGTGGCTTGTTCTGATGGGGAAGTTCAGGGAGCCAGGAGTCTGTTTCTTGTTCCCGTCTCAGAGTAAAAGGACAAAGACTGTATTCATCAAGGATGGTCTTCAAAAGCCTTGAGCCTGGTGTCTCCTCACTTCCCAACATGCCCAAGTCATCTCCCATAGCCCTACTGCAGTGGGTGAAGGTTTATTTCCAAAAATCCTACATTGGTTTTCAGAGTCAGGATAAGAGTGTTTTAGATGATATATGTCTAGGATCTTCAGCACAGGGGCCCAAGTGTTACCTGGAAAGTCCACCTCCTAAGTGGGAGCCCTGCTCTTGGCTTCCCTTCACAGTCCTGCACGTGGCCGGGAGGCCTGCCCTGTGAAATCCCAGAGCTGTTGTGCAGAAACGGTAGAAACAGTGCCCGGCTGTGTCTCCACTGCCCAACTTCTCCCTCTTTCAAAGAAAGAAAGAAATCATTCACCGACTAGAAGGTAGACACATGTTAGCTCGGGTGATGGGGAGGGCAATATACTAGAAGAGGGAGGTTGGCAGAAGACTGATGAAGACAGGTGAAGACACAGGGAGGTAGGCAAGGGCTAAAGGGGACAGAGGGAAATAGTGAATATATACACAAACTTGGAGCAACAATGAGTGTACTGTGTGCAGATACATGGACAGAGACACAGGCTGAATGAGTATGGAAGGATCTATATGTATTGTATCTCCCACAAATATATAAGAGTTTAAAAGAGGATATTTATACTTGGATAACCACAGGGAGGAAGCGATGGAAGGGATTGCAGTCATTGAGATGAAACAAAGCATTTGATTTGTTGAATGTAAAACTGCTGATCTTGCCTGTAAACCTCCACTCAGTTCACAATAATAAAGAAAATAAAAAGAGAAAATAAATAAATAAAAGATTCTGCCAGGGGGTGTGGGTGGCCTCCCCGCAGCAGCTGTGTTGCTCCCCAGCCAGGCCTGCCTGCTCTTGGCCCAGCAGGAGGATGAGCCTGTTTGGAGGCTTTGTTCAAGCCCCTGGGGCCTTCTCCCCCTGGCACTGCTTGACTCAGGCAATTAGGGACGGAAAGTTCTCCCTTCCCAGCCTGCTACTCCTGCAGCCCTTTCTCACTGTCACCTGTTCCCTCCCTCCCTGGAGGCCCCTTCTGCTGCCCCTAGATCCCCATCTCGGAGGCTCTCTGACTCAGGAGGACTGGGAAGGGGAAGAGGGATAAAAGGATGGTCCTTCTCAAAGCCCTGCTCCCTACTAGCTTTCCTCACTCCTGCTGTTAAAAACTAAAGCAGTAACAATGATAGTTCACTTTTATTGAGCACATACTCTGTGCCAGGGCATTGTCTTCAGCATTTTATAGGCGTTACCTCATTTACAATTTACACCATCCCTAGAGGTAGGTTAGGTGTCCTCTGGCATCCCATTTTCCAGACCATGTCACAGATCTCATCCCTGGTCTGAGGTAGGGAATGTGTCTCTGAAAAGCTGCTGAGGCCCTGACTTCCATTTTCTCTCACTTGCCTCCAACTTGCTCCTCACAAGAACTCTGTAAGCTGCTCACCAGCTTCCCGCTGCAAGCCCCCTAGAAATATGTGTGTTTTCGCTCATTGTCCTGATTGAATCACTTTCCTGCACTTTCCCTTGTGCTGCATAATCCTGTCTTAAAAGTCCTAACATCTTCTTCTATTTCCTTCCCTTCCCCTAGGACCCTGCTGGAATCTTTGAGCTGGTGGAGGTGGTTGGCAATGGAACCTATGGACAGGTGTACAAGGTGAGACTTGAATGATGCAGAAGTGTGACCTCCACCTCCTTTGGCTCCTTTCAAAAGAGGTGACAGGAATAGGTGCTAGGTCTGGAGATTTGGGGGGACAGGGGACTGGGTCACAGCAATTTCAAGAGCCAGGATCTCTGGGAAAGGACAGAGGACATGGAAGAGAGGGGAGAAGAGAACAGAAGTCATGCGGAAAGGGAGCAGCAGCATGAAGTGGAGTATTTAGAAGTGGTCCTGGGTGAGCAGGAATAGGCTGGCGCTGGGTGGGCTGTGGGATGGAAAAGCTGTGTGTAGCCGAGATCTGGGAGCAGGAGTGGAACGGAAGTGGGACCCTATGTCAGTAATAGGGCCACAGGTGTGTGTGAACTCCTCCCAAGATCACAAAGAGACCCACAGCTTGGCGATGGAGGTATCCAGTGGGTGACCCTCTGTAGAAGGAAGTGGCTTTCATGGGCCCCCACAGCTGGTCTGCAGCAGAGCTGGAACCAGAGGTCAGCCTTTTACTATGGAGGCTCCTATTCCTCACAGAAATGGCAAAGCCACTGGGCTGGCCAGCCCCTCAAGTGGCCTGCTCAGTGGTCACACTTGGTTGGGAGAGGCAGCTGCAGCAGGGAGGGGGTGTTTCAGGTGAAGCTCCCTGGAGCTGGAGACCCCCGTCGAGTGCACCCCCGTTGCTGAGTCTCCTTGTTACTTTCCCAAGTCTCCTCTGCACCTCTGGTCACCAGGACCACCTGCCTTCTTCTTACCCTTCTCTCCTTGTAAGCTCTTCCCCCCATCACTGCCTAGTCGTTGCCATGGAAATAGTAGCTTTGGGCTTGGGGTCTTGAATGGCTGCGGAGGATAAAAATAACCCATGGGCTGGCAGTGCCTATGTCCATCCCCACAAGGGGCTGTCTCCCAACCTTGCCCCTCCCCAGGATGCCTTGGGCTGTCCTAGAGGAGAAGGGGAATGCAGGAGGGGAGCACACTTTGGAAGAGAGAACTTTTTCCCCCTTAGGACTGATGACGGAGGCATTGGCACATGTCATTCAGTGCTCTGGGTGTGTTTCCCCAACATCTCTGAAATTTCAGCTCTGTCTGTAATCTGTCACGAACAACCACAAACCTGGGGATTATATTGGATATGGGGGGAGGCCTCCTGTCTAGAAGGAAGTGCATCAGGAAAGCACCAAGGCATCTTGTCTTGTATAGAAAATACAAGAGAGGCACGCCTCTCTCCAGCCAGCTCCCACCAACTTCCATTTTAGGATGGTAGAAGTATCTCTCCTTCTTGCTCCAACTTTCAAATAGTTGAAAGTTCATGCCAGAAAGGCTGGACTGTGTTTCTCACTCACTCTTGTTTTTATAATGGGCCTGGGGTGGGGGAGGTGGCGTTTCTGGTGCATACTACAATAGTGTCCAGTCTAGGTGCTTCTCCTGTTAGTCCTAAGGACTTTGGAGCACTCTCCCTCTGCTGCCCCCCTGTGCCCCACACATAAGTTGAGGTGTCTGGCCATGATGAGGGGCCTTGATAAGGCAGAAGACAATACAAGTCAGCCCACTTGCGGTTCTGCTCCCTGAGCCTAGGCCAGGTCCCTCCATGTCCAGCTTTGTGTCTGACAGGGTCGGCACGTCAAGACCGGGCAGCTGGCTGCCATCAAGGTCATGGACGTCACAGAGGTAAGGAGGAAGTCTGGGTGGAAGCAGGGTTGAAACCCTGAAGAGGGGAGTAGGGGGATCTCAGGGCTCCCCTTCTCCCATTCACCTAGGATGAGGAAGAAGAGATCAAACAGGAAATCAACATGTTGAAAAAGTATTCTCACCACCGTAACATTGCCACCTACTATGGGGCCTTCATCAAGAAGAGTCCCCCTGGAAATGACGACCAGCTCTGGGTGAGCATGTCCTCTCCTGTTTGCCCGCCCCTCCCTTCCACACTGCCTGTCTCCAGACTCAATGTCAGCACCTGGAGTCTCTTCTGGTCACCCCTCCCTCTGTCCAGAGACACTGTCCTGTCTCTGAATCCACAGACACTTGTGACTCACCCGGAGCCCTACACGCCAGTCTCATACACCCAGCTCAGCGCCTCATCCTCTGAGTGCTTTAGGTGACAGGGGTGCTGGTGTTACCCCAACTTTTGCCATAACCAGTACTCATACTGTCTGGTAAGCACTGAAGGAATAGCAGTGTAAGACTGGGAAGGATTAGAAGAGACCCCTGGAAGGTTAGTCCATCAGTACTCCTGTCTCTGGTCACAGCTTCTGGGAAAGCAACAGAACCAGCAGATGTGTGGGAGGCAGCAGGACAGGGCACAAGCTCCTCTGGATGACTCTTCTAACCAGACCCTGGTGTGGCTCTTTTATGCCACCCCCAAATTCTCTCTTGGCCTAGAACTTTCCTAAACACCATTCCTCCTCCCTTGCTTGGGCACTGTGCCAACTGATTCTTCTAGCCACACCTTGAGGAGAGAGCAGTGGGGAGCGGGGCAGCGCCTGAGGAGTCTCTCCCCCAGCAGTTAGCCAGACAGCAAGCACTTACTGAGCAATGTCAGGAACTACATAGACTGTGAACTATGTCCCTGCCTCCAAGGCATTTCGTTTTATGGGGCACACACACATCCACAAACATGCACACGCACGCATAGTAACACCTCAGGTATACCTGCCGCGTGCGTGCGTGTGCGTGTGCGTGTGCGTGTGTGTGTGCGTGTGTGTGTGTGTGTGTGTGTGTGTGTAGGGGGAGATCATTGAGGAATTAGAAGCTCGGCTCTGAAGACCAGGCGCCCTCTTCTGGATGACTGGTACAATCCTCACCTTCACCTACGGCTCTGTTGCAGAACGGAAACACTGGCCCAGGCTTGGTATATGCAAATCACTTTTATTGCATATGCAAATATATGCATCCCAACCAACCATTTCCTGTATGGATGTGACTTTTAGGAAATGTCTAGTGATGGCTCCTGGACCGGCATACTGATTGGGGGTGGGAATGGGGAGTGGTTCTCGCTGGCTTCTCCTCTGAGCCCTGCCTCTAAGTCTCAGGGGTTCTTCCTGGAGGTATAGATGGGAACTCACCTCTCACTGCCTCCTTGTTGGGAGTCTGGTCTGTCACAAGTCTTCCCAGGTTCCCTCTGGCAGCAATCTGGGTAGACCCCATGTGCTGTTTTTGTCTCTAGCAGTACTGGAGAACGGCAGATTCCGAGAACCTTTCTTGCTTCTGGATCAAGAATTGCCGTGCTTTTTTCTGTAAAGGGCCAAACAGTAAATATCTTTGGCTTTATTAACTATACAATTTCCGTTGCTACTGCTTGTTTCTACCCTTATACCATGAAAACTGCCGTAGCCAGCATGTAAAAGTGTGGCCGTGTCCCCCCAAAAAACTTGATTTAGAAGACTAAAATTTGAATTTCACTAAATTGTCATGTGTCACGAAATAGTCATCTTTTGATTTATTTTCCTGGTGTGGTGCTGTAGGATAAGCACAGGACCACAATGTCGGTTTGAACCACAAGGCTGGCAGCTCAAACTCACCAGCCGCTCTTTGGAATATCTATACAGGGTGACTGTGAGCCAGAACCGATGCTTAACAAGTTAAAACCATTCTCACCTCACTGGCTGTACAAAACAGGCACAGGGCACAGGTTGCTAATCCCTGCTTGAGAGCAGCCATTCTCAACCACTTGGAGATGAGAACCTGATGAAGCATCGGGCCCTTCCCCAAGAAGCCTACACCTACCACATACTTGGGTCTGTACTGTCTGAGGTTTGACTTCTGCTCTAGACTCAGGCGGTTTTCCACAGCCCCAATCTGCCATGTCCTTCTCTCCTAATCCCAGGAGAATGGGTGGCCTCTGCTCTCTAGCTGTCCACATTGGTTCTAGCCCCACGGCCTTTGACCCTCTCCCAGGGGCTCTGGCAGGGGGAGAGGCCAGGTCTGACTAATGCTTTTCCTTCTCATGCCTTCCGGGGGGACCCCAGCTGGTGATGGAGTTCTGTGGTGCAGGCTCAGTGACTGACCTGGTGAAGACTACCAAAGGGAATGCCCTGAAGGAGGACTGCATCGCCTATATCTGCAGGGAGATCCTCAGGGTGAGCTGACGCCTCCCCTCCTCCTCCCTGACACTCGTGCTGGGCACTGGGCTGTGCGGCCTTGGCTGGACATAGACCCCTAGCACTGGGGAGACGGTGGGACTCAGTCCTCTTAGGGAACAGCTAGCCTGATGGCAGAGGCGGGGAAACTCTCCGGCTGCTGGAGGAGACAAGCCTGGTCACCTGGAACCCCGAAACTCCAAGGCACCCACAGGGAGTCATCCCTCTGAGGAAGCTCCCCAGAAAAGTCCAGCCTGTGCTCAGGCTTCTGGCCTTCACCCCTCCTGGTCCTTCCCACCCCCTCAGACACCACAGCTAATCCTCCCGTTCTCCTACACCAGGGTCTGGCCCATCTCCATGCCCACAAGGTGATCCATCGAGACATCAAAGGGCAGAACGTGCTGCTGACCGAGAATGCTGAGGTCAAACTAGGTGCGCTGATTCCTTCGAAGGCAGAGGGGCCCTCACCCCCAGGACTGGTGGCTCAAGTCCAGTTCCCTGTATCCTGGGAGGCTTGCTCCCTCCCCTTTCCCATCTCCTCCCCTGGGATGTGCTACCTCCTGCTGAAAATCACTTGAGAAGCTTCTTACCTGCTGCCTATTAAGGTAATGCGCTGTGAACTGCAAGGTCAGCAGTTCAAACTCACCAGCTGCTCCTTGGAAACCCTATACAGGGTCGCTGTGGGTTGAAACCGACTCAATGGTACTTAACAACAACAACAACATTAAGTATCAGGTGCTGTGCAGGTCCCTCTGGGGAGATGGGATATTGTGACCCCTCCTGCCCTGCCGGGACGCTGTTCCTTGGTCCTTTCACCTTGTTTTCCCTGCGGTGCAGGAGGACTAGGCCTGACTTCCCCAGATCTGGGGCAGAGCAAGGACCCCGCTCCACAGGGTACTTGCATACAGGGCTGCAAGGCCAGGGCGCAGGCCTGACTCCATTCTGACCCCTCCCTGATGTCTTCACAGTGGATTTTGGGGTGAGTGCCCAGCTGGACCGTACTGTGGGCAGGCGGAACACTTTCATCGGGACCCCTTATTGGATGGCGCCAGAGGTCATTGCCTGTGATGAGAACCCCGATGCCACCTATGATTATAGGGTATGAAGTGGGGAGTAGGGTGCCTGGGAGTAGGGGATGAGGTGGGCATGATTGAGAGCACTGTGGGCTTGAGCAGGACCGCAGTGGAGGTCTGCTGACATGTTGGCAGTGGGCAGTTGGGTCACGGAGAGTAGGTGAGTGGAGGAGAGCAGAAGTGGCCTTGCAGAGGCCAGGCTTGGGAAGCGGAGAACGGTAATGAGGCAGAGTTGTCAGGACTGCTCACCGCCCCTGTGTCTCTTCCCTCTGCAGAGTGACATTTGGTCTCTAGGAATCACAGCCATTGAGATGGCAGAGGGAGCCCCCCGTAAGTGCCAAGTCTGCCAGTGCTGTGATGGGAGGGAGTGAGGGAGGCGGCACACAGGATCAGGGATCATGTTGAGAAGAGATCCAGAGAGAGTAAGGGTCTATTCTGTGCCCTAGCTCTGTGTGACATGCACCCCATGCGAGCCCTCTTCCTCATCCCCCGGAACCCTCCGCCCAGGCTCAAGTCTAAGAAATGGTAGGTCACTGGGAGGGAAGGGCTCTGAACAGCACACCCACCTTCCCTGGGTGTGCACTCTAGGAGCGGGTGGTGCTGCAGCCAGCAGGCCTGGGGCCTGGTGTTGGCAGGAGGGTGCTCAAGGGGCTTTTGGATCTGTGCTCTTCCTCCTGTGTCACCCCTTCTGTTGGGACCCTGTTCCCAGGTCTAAGAAGTTCATCGACTTCATTGAGACATGTCTCATCAAGACCTACCTGAGCCGCCCACCCACAGAGCAGCTGCTAAAGTTCCCCTTCATCCGGGACCAGCCCACGGAGCGGCAGGTCCGCATCCAGCTCAAGGACCACATTGACCGATCCCGGAAGAAGCGGGGCGAGAAGGGTCAGTGGGCATGGTGGGTGCGGGGCTTCCCTGTCCTCCTGCCCCCACTCTTCCTGAAGGAGCTTTTCCCAAACTGCCAACTGCAGAGAGGTTTTCAAGTCAACTTTCCAAATGAAGGTCATCCTTCCTAGGAGCACCTGCAGCTGTGTGTCAATGCACACACAGCCCGCCACCCCCCACCCACTGTCATCCCATGGGTCTAAGGAGGTGGGCGGGGACCCAGGCCAACCACGGTATTGATTATCCTAACCAAGGTCTCCCTAGTCCAGGGTGGGGGCTGGGGCACTTAGACCCAGCAGTGATCTCCCCTCTGCAGAGGAGACAGAATATGAGTACAGTGGCAGCGAAGAGGAAGATGACAGCCATGGAGAGGAAGGAGAGCCAAGGTAGGCTTGGTGGGTGAAAGAGGAGGAGACACTCTATCTGGGGTGGGGGCACAAGGAGACCCTTTTAAACTGAGCCTCTAAGTGCTAAGGAGAAATGATGTGACTGAACAAGGAGATGGGAGAGGGACTGGGATATGAAAGGAGGACAGGACCAAAGGCTGGGCAGTGGAGATGACAAATCAAGGACTGGGCTGTGACCGTGAACAGACTGTCTGGTTCAGCGGACTCCCCAGCAAGTCTTGACTCCAAAGCTCCCTTGTGCCACCCTGACCCAGCTCCATCATGAATGTGCCTGGAGAGTCGACTCTACGCCGAGAGTTTCTGCGGCTCCAGCAGGAGAATAAAAGCAACTCAGAGGCTTTAAAGCAGCAGCAGCAGCTGCAACAACAGCAGCAGCGAGACCCTGAGGCCCATATCCAGCACCTCCTACACCAGCGGCAGCGGCGCATAGAGGAGCAGAAGGAGGAGCGCAGGCGCGTTGAGGAGGTGGGACTCCACCTGCCCCTTTCAGGGTTTTATTAGAGGCCATAGGTACATTGGTCCCGCTGCCCTCCCTCATGGGGGGAGAGCTGTGCCATCTGCATCCATTCATATCAGAACCGCTCCTGAAAGCCCTCCCCGCTGCTGAGGGCTAACCCAGCTCCACTAGCTCACACCTGGGTAGCCAGGGAGGCTACTCATTCTTTAGGGCACCTGAGCTGTCGGTTCTGAAAGGTTCTTCAGAGAGCCTCCTTTTGGTTATTTTGGCTAAAGTTTGCTGTAAAGTAGTCTTGTCAGCTTGGTCTGATTTGAAGTGGGTGAAAGGGAATTCTTTTCAATGCATGGTGATGGTGGTTATGTGCTATGGAGTTGGTTCCGACTCATAGCGACCCTGTATAGGGTTTCTGAGGCTGTAAATCTTAACGGGAGCACAAAGCCTCATCTTTCTCCTGCAGAACCACTGGTAGTTTGGAATAGCTGACCTTGAGGTTAGCAGCCCGATTTGTAACCACTGTGCTACCAGAGCTCCTTTTTCAATGAATAGAGAGTGTTATTTTTAAATAACCGCATTAAATAGATGTAGTGGTTAACTTTCTGATGGCAGTGTAATGATCATATCCTGGAGAAGACCCATATGAACCTCCATTGTAGGAATGCGAAAAGGGTTTAACATGCTTTTGTTTTACTTCTAATGGACTCTTTGGTCAGAAGGATTTTGCAAATAAAGTGCAAACTGAACTACTGATGTTTGCCAAAGAGCCGGCCAAGTCCCTCTCTAGGTTTTCTTATAGCGCAGTCACTGGGAATCAACTTGATGGTTGGCAGTGGGAAATGCTTTTCTGGGCACAGTCACTTGGTGCCCTCTTGTGCCCAAAGGCCATCACTACAGCCCATTCTGTGTGGTCTTCCAGGCCAACGTTCACTTAGGCAGTGAGGAAGCTGTTGTGGACCTTATTGTTGATTCTTACTTTGTTTGATGGGGGCGTGGGTTTTGTTGTTGGTGGTGGTAAGTACCGTGGAGTTGGTTCCGACTCATAGTGACCCTGCACAGGGTTTCCGAGGCTGTAAATCTTGACGGGAGCAGAAAGCCTCGTCTTTCTCCCAGGGAACCGTTGGTAGTTTCGAGCTGCTGCTGGCCTTGAGATTGGCAGCCTGATTTGTAGTCACTACGGTAGAGGGAATTATTTCCAACTCAGCCCATTCCAAGGACTTCTCTCAATTCCATTCACAGAGCTTCCTTTAAAAAAAAAAAAGAGTGCTATGAAATTGATTCTGATTTATGGTGCCCCATGGAACTGTTTCATAAGGTATTCAATGGCTGATTTTTTTTTTAGAAGTTAATCGCCAGGTTCTTCTTCCGATGCACCTCAGGTTTGACTCAGTTGACCAACTTTTTAGTTCACAGCTGAGCACTTAGTTGTTTTGTGCCATCCAGGGACCCCCATAGCTAAAGCAGTGGTGTAGGGATAGGTTCTTTCATACAAAACTGAAGCTGTTCTCTCTCCCCACCATCCTTAGTGGGAAAGGAGACCCACCATCACTGTCCATGGTGTGCTCTTTCTCGTCCTGTGCTGTCTTAGGATCTGGAAATGTCTTTACAAGTGTATGTCTCCCCACAGCAACAGCGGCGGGAGCGGGAGCAGCGGAAGCTTCAGGAGAAAGAGCAGCAGCGGAGGCTGGAGGACATGCAGGCCCTGCGGCGGGAGGAGGAGAGGCGGCAGGCAGAGCGGGAGCAGGTACACTCCCCCCCAGCACACACACGGCACATGCCCCCCTGCTCCCCAACACCCTTGCCCTTCTCTCCTTACCCCGAGATTCCTATCTTTTCCAGCTTCACTCTTTCTCTCTGTTTTCTCCTACCCTTCAACCCCCAACCCTGGGTCCCTGCCCTCCTCCTGTCTCTGTTCCTTCATTCCCCATCTCTGAACCCCTCCCGACTCCTCCCCACATCTTCCCTCATGGCTCCTCCACCCTGACTTCCTCCTCATTTCCTAACGTGTGCTGCACTGCCCTCTCCGGGCTCATCCCCTCCTCATCCTCAACCCTGCTGACCCCTCTCTCTTCCTCCAACTTCTTGGCCGCCGCTGCCCCTCCTCTGCCTCTTCCTCTTTCCCTGCCCTTTGCCCCCCACCCCACCCCCAGGAATATATCCGTCACAGGCTAGAGGAGGAGCAGCGGCAGCTCGAGATCCTTCAGCAACAGCTGCTCCAGGAACAGGCTCTGCTGCTGGTAACGGGGTCCCTCAGCTTCCTGGGGAAGATGCTCTCCAGAGCGCCTCTGCTGGCAGGGATGGGAACACGTCAGGGGAAGGGATTCGCCCAGACTCAGGCAGTCGGAGAAAAGCAAGGGCATGCCTGCTCTACGTTCCAGGCCCCACCCTGCTGAGCCCTCTCTCCCTACCCTTGGCACCAGGAATACAAGCGCAAGCAGTTGGAGGAGCAGCGGCAGTCGGAACGGCTCCAGCGGCAGCTGCAGCAGGAACATGCCTACCTCAAGTCCCTGCAGCAGCAGCAGCAGCAACAGCAGCTTCAGAAACAGCAGCAGCAGCAGCAGCAGCAGATCCTGCCTGGAGACCGGAAACCTCTGTACCATTATGGCCGGGGCATCAATCCTGCTGACAAACCAGCCTGGGCCCGAGAGGTACTCGCAGCCCGCTCCTAACACTCCACCCTGCCAGTCTCACTGCATGGACTGTAGGCCAGGCCGCTGGGCAGGTGCTGACCGCCTGACATCCTTTCGTATCGTAGGTGGAAGAGAGAACAAGGATGAACAAGCAACAGAACTCTCCCTTGGCCAAGACCAAGCCAAGCAGCACAGGGCCTGAGCTGTCCAGCCCCCAGGCCTCCCCTGGGCCCCCAGGCCCCCTTTCCCAAACTCCTCCTATGCAGAGGCCGGTGGAGCCCCAGGAAGGACCTCACAAGGTGAGTCTCTCCCCATTCTGGTCTTAATGCCCAGACACAGGAGCCCTGTCCTCCCCAGGGCACAGGTACACACCTGTGCTTACTACACTCAGCTCTTAGCCGGAGCCATGGGTTTTTGGGTGCGTGGAAGAGGCAGGTCCTCGCTTGCTGCAACATATGCTTCTTCCTAGACCTAACCTATTCTCGGGCTCCAGGAGCCCCTTATTCTGGGCTGGATCTTTGGCAGCCAGAAGGCGTTGCTCCTTCCCCCAGCCCAAGCCCCAACTCTGAGTGGGGGTCTGCCACAGAGTGGGCTGCCCAACCTCCCTGGTCTCTCCCTGCAGAGCCTGGTGGCACACCGGGTCCCACTGAAGCCATACGCAGCACCTGTACCCCGATCCCAGTCCCTGCAGGACCAGCCCACCCGAAACCTGGCTGCCTTCCCTGCCTCCCACGACCCAGACCCTGCCATCCCTACACCCACTGCCACGCCCAGTGCCCGAGGAGCCGTCATCCGCCAGAACTCTGACCCCACATCTGAAGGGCCTGGCCCCAGCCCCAATCCCCCAGCCTGGGTCCGGCCAGATAATGAGGCCCCACCCAAGGTGAGGACAATCCTGTGGAACCAGGGAAAGGCTAACTAACAGGAGGTTATGGAGGCAGCAAAGTGGAATGGAGCTTGGGATGGAGAAGGAAGGGAACGAGAAGGCATCTGCTATGACTCCATTCTGGAGGGTCAGCAGTCTAGCTAGTGTTGGGTGTGTGCTGACCCTCATGATGGGGTTGGGGTGGGGTGGGGAAAATGCCCAGGGTGTTTGGGGAGCCGCAAAGAGCCGTTGTTCTGGACTAGGACCCCAGCTCTGCCATTTTCCAGTTTCATAGACTTGGTTAACGTAGCAAACTTGTCTGGACTTCAGTGTGCTTACTCATAGGACCAGGGGAAAGCACCTGTCTGTGAGGGTGAAGTGTTTATAAAGTGCTCAGCACAGGGCCAGGCCCAAGCACGCTGACTTGGCTTTCTTCTGTCCCCTCAGGTGCCTCAGAGGACCTCCTCCATTGCCACTGCCCTCAACACCAGTGGGGCCGGGGTTTCCCGGCCAGCACAGGCTGTCCGTGCTAGGTAACCCCTGGGTGTGCTTGGGTGGCCGCCTAGGGAGTGGGAGGGTGTCGGGGAGCTCACCAGGTTGCCCGCTTAGGGGTGGGAAGCCCCAACCCAGTCACCTCAGCCCCCTGCCCCCCTCCCCCGGCCCCCCTGTGCTCCCTCCACAGACCTCGCAGCAACTCCGCCTGGCAAATCTACCTGCAAAGGCGGGCCGAGCGGGGGGCCCCCAAGCCTCCAGGGCCCTCTGCTCAACCCCCTGGCCCGCCCAACGCCTGTAGGTAACAGAGTTGTTTCCACTCACGCCCACCCTCACTTCTGCCACTGCTTTTCCCTGGGTATATGGTTCTCTGTATGGTGCAGCTCAGCACTTGGACAGGGCTCCCCCTGACCCTGACTCTGCCCCCATAGTAACCCTGACCTCCGGAGGAGCGACCCTGGCTGGGAGCGCTCGGACAGCATCCTCCCAGCCTCACATGGGCACCTCCCCCAGGCCGGCTCACTGGAGCGGAACCGTGTGGGCCCTGGTGAGCAAGCCCGGCTGGGCAGTTGTGTTGGGCACTGGACAGGGTCCTCTCGGGGGCAGAGGTGAAGAAATGGGTGGACACAGAATGCGGCACTGCGCTGGGGCTCAGGGCCACTGGGCCTCTTAGGGCCCACCCCCCTTCCAAGTGTCAGTGACTCTCCTCTCCCCCGACTCTCCTAGCTTCTTCCAAACTGGACAGCTCCCCAGTGCTCTCTCCTGGGAGCAAAGCCAAGCCCGACGACCACCGCTCCCGGCCCGGCCGGCCTGCAGTGAGTCCTCTGGGCAGGCGTGGTTCGCCATTAAGGGGCAGAGAGTGGAGCCTGGGTGTCAGGAGCAGGCGCATGTTCATCTGGGATAGGGAAGGACTGGCCCGCGCAAGCATTACTAACCTCTCTCTCAACCTCTCTCCTGCCTCTGGCTGGCTGCCTTTCCCCCTGTGGCTCTTCCCAGAGCTATAAACGAGCAATTGGCGAGGTTAGTGCCAGGGGCAGTGCAGCTTGCTAAACCCTCTCCTGTTGCCCACCCTGGCTGCTCCTTGGTCCTGTGGCACCACCCCCCCCTGAGCCCTTCTCCTCTCCTCCCCTCAACTGTCCCCTCCCCAGCAGGACTTTGTGCTGCTGAAGGAGCGGACCCTGGAAGAGTTCCCCCGGCCTCCCAAGAAGGCCATGGACTACTCGTCGTCCAGTGAGGAGGTGGAGAGCAGTGAGGATGAGGAAGAGGAAGGCGATGGCGAGCCTTCAGAAGGGAGCAGGGACACCCCTGGGGCCCGGTATGTGTGGGTGCAGCAGAAGCTCAGGGGAGAGGAGGGGCTGGTGATCTGAGGGGCACGTGCTGACCAGCTGGTCCACCCTTCTGCAGAGCTGGGTGTGTGGGTGGGCTATCCCTACCAAGCAGCCCGGTCCTGTGGGCCTTGTGTGGCTTTGTGACCTTCCTTTCCCGCAGCAGCGATGGGGACACAGACAGTGTCAGCACCATGGTGGTCCATGATGTTGAGGAGATAACCGGGACCCAGACCCCATTCGGGGGAGGAACCATGGTGGTTCAGCGTGTGAGTGGGTTTTTCCCTCTCTTCCCCGGTGCCCACTCTGCCCCCATCGCCCCCAACATTGACTGACCAGTCCACTTTTCTTTTAGACCCCAGAAGAGGAGCGAAGCCTACTGCACGCCGACAGCAATGGCTACACAAACCTGCCTGACGTGGTTCAGCCCAGCCACTCACCCACCGAGAACAGCAAAGGCCAGAGCCCACCCTCCAAGGAGGGGGGCAGCGATGTAAGTAGGTGTGGAGGCCGGTCCTAGGGGAGACTGGCAGTGGGCAGGGTGTCTGGGAATGGTGGCTGGGGTCTGCCTGTATGCCTGACTGCTGCCTCCCCTCTAGTACCAGTCTCGTGGGCTGGTCAAGGCTCCCGGCAAGAGCTCCTTCACCATGTTTGTGGACCTTGGGATCTACCAGCCTGGAGGCAATGGGGACACCATCCCCATCACAGGTGAGGGCAGAGGCACAAAGCCCCATCACAACCCCCTGGTCTGGGCCTTTGCCTGGGCCCTGCCACAGAGGCAGGGGAGGCTTGGGAGGGACCTGGTCAAAAGTTCAAAGCTAATGAATGGCAGAACTTGGACTTGAAGTTCAGTGTTCTATCCAATCCTCTGTACACCTCCTCTGTTCTTCAGTCTTTTCCTTGTCTTCGGGGGACGGGGCTGAGAGTTCCACTGCTCAGCTGCCTCTCTTCTCCTTGGCAGCCCTCGTCAGTGGAGAGGGAAGCCGGCTCGATCAGCTGCAGTATGATGTGAGGAAGGGCTCTGTGGTCAACGTGAATCCCACCAACACCCGGGCTCACAGTGAGACCCCTGAAATTCGGAAGTATAAGAAGCGATTCAATTCCGAGATTCTCTGCGCGGCCCTTTGGGGTAAGCCAAAGGCCTGGGAGGCAAACTAGGGGCTCTGGTGTGCCTCCTGTGCTCCCAGTCAGGTGAGGGCCTGGCTCTGCCTCTGATCTGCCCAAGGGCTGCTATTGCAGGGGTCAACCTGCTGGTGGGCACGGAGAATGGGCTGATGTTGCTGGACCGCAGCGGGCAGGGCAAGGTGTACGGGCTCATTGGGCGGCGGCGCTTCCAGCAAATGGATGTGCTAGAAGGACTCAACTTGCTCATCACCATCTCAGGTCTGTGTGTGGAGCACGAGGTGGGGAGTCAGTGGGGAGGGGGCCCCAGCTCCTTGTTCTCTATCACCTCCTTCAGCCTTGGGGGGAGGGCAAGGAAGCCCAGAGGTGGACCATTCTCTTTTGTCCTTGTTGGGGTCAGCAGACAAAGGGTGGTGGGGGGCAGAAGCTGGACCTCAGTGAGGAAGAAAGTGTGCGTGTCTACCTCAGGGAAAAGGAACAAACTGCGGGTGTATTACCTGTCGTGGCTCCGGAACAAGATTCTGCACAATGACCCGGAAGTGGAGAAGAAGCAGGGATGGACCACTGTGGGGGACATGGAGGGCTGCGGGCACTACCGTGTTGGTGAGGGTGGGACTAAGTGGGTGGGGCACATTGCTTGTAGATTAAGAAAGCCTTGAGGCTAGAGACTTGGGGACCTGGGATGGGGAGGCGGGGAGTAGGGACAGACTGAGGGGTCATCTGTATCCCTCTTCTTTCTGCTTCAGTGAAATACGAACGTATCAAGTTCCTGGTCATTGCCCTGAAGAGCTCTGTAGAGGTGTATGCCTGGGCCCCCAAACCTTACCACAAATTCATGGCCTTCAAGGTAACCCCGGCCTCAGCCCCCAACACTGCTCCGGGTATGCCTCCCACCTGTGTGCAGTCTGAGCCCTTATTTTCCCCACAGTCCTTTGCTGACCTCCCACACCGCCCTCTGCTGGTTGACCTGACAGTAGAGGAGGGACAGCGGCTCAAGGTCATCTACGGCTCCAGTGCTGGCTTCCACGCGGTGGATGTTGACTCGGGGAACAGCTATGACATCTACATTCCTGTACATGTAGGTGTGGCCGTAGGGGCATGTGGCACCACTCGCTCTAGCACTAGACCCAGGCACTCCAGCATGCCCTCTCCTCCCCAGATCCAGAGCCAGATCACACCCCATGCCATCATCTTCCTCCCCAACACTGATGGCATGGAGATGCTACTGTGCTATGAGGATGAGGGCGTGTATGTCAACACATACGGGCGCATCATCAAGGACGTGGTGCTGCAGTGGGGAGAGATGCCCACCTCTGTGGGTGAGTGAGGTGTCTGCCCTCTGAGCCACATGCCCCCAACTAGCCCAAGAGTGTGGCCTGCCAGTGGGGCTGGACTATCCCCCTCACCCTCAACTATGTTCTTTCCCCAGCCTACATTTGCTCCAACCAGATAATGGGCTGGGGTGAGAAAGCCATTGAAATCCGCTCAGTGGAGACTGGCCACCTGGACGGGGTTTTCATGCACAAACGAGCCCAGAGGCTCAAGTTCCTGTGTGAGCGGAATGACAAGGTGGGAGGCCGGGCCCCTACTCTGAGAGGTCTGTGGGCAGACTTGGGCATGGGGATGGCTGTGATGTCTCTGTTGAGTCTTCTGGGAGCGCAGCCCAGCAGGGGCCACAGCCTGCCCTCCTCTGTCCTCCAGACTCAGAACTCTCCAGATCCCTCCACTCCACTGGGGCCCTGGGCACCCCTCCTCCCCAAACCTGTCTGCCTTTCAGTGAGGCTAGGGGGCACTCTGAGACACACACAGCCACACTCTCCCAGTTACTTGAGATACCCCACCCCAGTCCAGCCCCTGGTGACCTCTTTTTCTACCCCACCCCAGGTATTTTTTGCCTCAGTTCGCTCTGGGGGCAGCAGCCAAGTTTACTTCATGACTCTGAACCGTAACTGCATCATGAACTGGTGATGGGCCTTGGGCTGGGGCTGCCCCTACTGTTCCCAGCTCTCCCTTCAACAGCCAGACTTCCCCGGCCGCCCCTCTTTTCCCTCCCTGGGCTTTTGCTTTTACTGGTTTGATTCACTGGAGCCTGCTGGGAACGTGACCTCTGATCCCTGATGCTTTTGTGATCACGTGACCATCCTCTTCCCCCAACATATTCTCTCCCACAAACTGTTCCTGTCCCCAACTTCTGGGGAAAGGTACAGCTTCCCCTTACCAGGCATTGAGTGGGGCCCAGCCCTGCTTCCTTTCCTCCACTGGACAGGAGAGTGCTTGGGCACACCCCTTCCTACTGCTGCTGACTGGGCAGGGCCCTGGGCCCCTTCATTTGCACGTCAGGGGAGCCGGCTCCCCCCTTGAATGTACCAGACCCTGGGGGGGGTCACTGGGCCCTAGGTTTTAGGGGGGGTCACCAGCCACTCCAGGCAGAGGCAGGGACCATTTCCTCATTCTCTGAAAGCACTTTAATGATTCCCTTACCCCAAGCCCCAGGGAATGGAGGGGGGGAACCCCCACCAAAACATTCCCTCCTTTCCACCTTCCCCTATCTCTTCTATAGCCTCTGTCCTTCCCTGGTGGCGGGAGGGAGCAGGGAGCTCTCACCCCCAGACCTCCTTGCTTGCATCTGTATATAGTGTGAGCAGCAAGTAGCCCATTCCCTGCCCCACTTCTCAATGTAGTGGCCTTGGATATCCCGTTTGTTAATAAAGACAATTCAACCAGCTCCCACCATTTCCAGCCCCGTTTTATTTTGTTGTCTTTCGTGTTCTGATACTAGCTGGGGAGAACCAGCGGTGTTGGAAATTAGGGGGTAGGGTGGATAGAATCTGCCCTGAGTTTTGTGTCAGTGGGAGTGGGTGAGTGGTGCTGGGCCAAGACAACCTAAAAAAATGACTGAGGGAGCACGGAGAGCCAGGTCAATGAGGGCTAGGGCTTCAAGGGCCAGCTGGCTTGTGTGTAAGCCCTGAGCTCAGGAGAAGGAAAGAGCCTAGCCAAGTGTCCAAGATGCATGCTTACAGGGTGAGGGGCTGGGTCTGAGGAAAGTTGGGAAGTCACCAAGTCTGAACTGAGGGTGAGCTTTGCATTTTTAGGGGACTGCCCTCCTACTGACCCTGCACAGAGGCCTGATTTACACACACAGCATGAACAGCCCTTCTGGAAAATTCACAAAAGACAGGTTTATTATCAGCAGTGGGGGATGGATAATACAGCAGCAGTGGTGGCAACTTGTTTTTTTCAAAAGCTAGTTCTTCCTGGAGATGAGTAGGAAGGTTGAAGGCAGCATGACGCCCCCCACGGCTCAGGTCTACATGCAAGAGGGGAAAGGAAGTTTGGGCACCTGGTTGAGAAAGCCCCCGAGGAAGATGAGGCCGGAGCCCACTCCGAAGAGCACCAGTGCCGCCCAGAAGCAGATATTGTCCAGGGCCTTCCCCATGCGCACCCAATCGGACAACTCCTGAGAAAAGGGTGGACACAAGCAGAGTCATAAAGGGGTGCTGCATGAGCCAGCGGTACCGGAAGTGGGGGCATCTACAGTGCCCCACCTCGTTAGTGGCCTCCTGGTCTCGCGTGCTTTCTGCCACGAAGTTCACAGCGTCCACACAGCAGCGGACCTCGGGGGCGGCGGCGCCCAGGCTTTGGCAGAGCGCAGCTGGTGGGGATACCAGAACGCGTTATTAGCACATCCCTGTTGCAAGCGCCTTTCCTTGCTACCCAGGCCACAGCTTCACTCACCGGCCCAGGCTCCGTGCCGGTGCCGCTGCCCCTCAAACACTAGCTCGCTCCGTGGCTTTTTTAGAATCAGCTCCTCCGCACGGAGCAGGATACCCACCGAGGACGCCCGCCTTGGGGGCAAGGTGGCCAGAGGAGGTTCAGAGGGTGGCCCCGAGCCCAGCAGTCGCGGCAGCAGTTCCAACAAAACCTAGTTTAGGGCAGGCCTTTGATGAGAGCCCAGCCGCGCCTCCCATCCCGGGGCCTACCGCTGGGAGCTTACGTGGCGCAGCCGCGGGGATACGGCGTGAGTGGTGGGCGTCCGCAACGACACGTTGAGCACGATGACGCAATTCATGACAATGAGCGTGGCAACCACCATGACGAAAATTAGGTACCTGAAGAGCCCGCGGTGCATGACGTCACAGCGTCCCCAGTCCCCAACTCATCTGACGTCACAACCTCACCACTCTCCCAGGGCCACAGAAAATTCAACTTGCCCTTTGACCTCACAAACACCCTTCTCAACGCAGAGGGTGGAGTTAAGACCCCTAGAGGGAGCCAGACGCCTCCCCTAGCCCTTCTCCACCTCCCACCTGAGGCAACCATGAAGGGGACCCCCAGCTCCCTGGATACCCTGCTGTGGGTCTACCACTTCCACAGCTCCACCGAGGTGAGGCTACGCCAATTGCTTCACATAGGGGCGACACTCCGAGACCCTCTGAGTAGGTCTCCGGAGACCCTCCCCCTCCGTGGGCCCTGCCCTAGGACCCAATGATTCCACTGTCCCTGTGCTCCTCCAGGTGGCCCTCCAGCCCCCGCTTCTTTCTTCCCTGGAACTCGCTCTGACGGCGGCCCATGAATATCTGGAGCAGAGATTCGGGGAGCAGAAGTCCCTGGAGCCCCGAGAGCCTGAGAAGCCGCCGGCCCCGGAACCCACCCTGGGGCTGGTGTTAAAAGAAGCCACGGCCAGCTGCCTAAATTTCAGTGTCACCTTGTTAGAGGTGGGATGCTGAGGGAATGAAACGGGGTGGGGGGGCGCAGAAGGAGGGGAGTAGGGCGGCAGAGCGCAGGCACCTCTGCATCCCTACTAACTCCGGCACCCCCACCGCAGATCTCAGCCCTGTGGCTGCAGCGGGAGGCGCAGCGAGTAGGTGACGACAACGACGACAGCCCGGGCCCAACTTCAGATGCGGGAGATCCGGGTCGAGTGCTGGCCCGGGTGGCCCAGGCCGCAGGACAGGGGGTTCGACAAGCGAGGGCTGCAGCTGGCGCAAGCACTCGACTCCTCCTCCAGGGGGCATGGCTATGCCTGTCTGGACGGGGTCTGCAGGGATCTGCCTCATTCCTGCAGCAATGGGGACGCCACCTGGGTCTCGGATACCCTGAGGAACGGGTGAGGGCGCGATGGGGATGGGTTGGGCACCCGAGGCGGCGTGGATGGAGACGCACTGAGCTGAACCGTCTCTCAACAGGCATACTCAGAAGACCTCAAGGTGGCGTCCAGCAACAGCAGCGCAGAGGACTCGGGCCGGGAGACCGAGCGCCTGTCCTAGTCCCAGCCAGTGTGCAAATAAAGCCCGGGAGAGAACCAGACTGCCAAAGCTCCCAGAGCCCTTTGATTATTGCTCGATCTCTTCCGGAACTGCACCCTCCTGGCTCCACCCCGTGCCAGTTTGGCTCCGCCCTTCGCACTGGTCACGCCCCATGTGGTCACTGCCAGCGCTAGGTCTGCACTCATACCTGCCCAGCAGCGGCACGCTCAAAGAAGTCTCTGGGATTTTCTGGGCAATTAGGAACAGGAAGACGGTTTGGGCAAGCAGGACGTTGATGGAGACAGTGCATTTCTGGCCACCGGCTGGAGGGGACACCCGATGAGAGTGGGCCTTGTTCTCTAGGCGCTGCCCAGGGCTTGGCGTTGGAGTGACTCCTTACCCTGAGCCGGCAGGAAGTAGGCGAGCAACACTAAGCCCGAAATGAGCACACAGGGCACGATAATATTGATGACATAGAAAAGTGGCTTCCGGCGAATGATGAGCGTGTAGAAGACGTCGGTGTCTCCCGGGTGGTCCGCTGAGGCTCCGTCGTCGTAGCGGCGGATCACCCCTGGGCAGAAGTCGATGGCCCACTCGCCGTTTTCTACAGAGGAAGGTGGTCAGCTCACTCTGGGAGACGGGCACCCTGCCCTGCTCGCCAGCCCTACACCTGACCCGAGTTGAGGAAGAGGAGGATGCAGCTGTCTGACTAGGCTAAAGCCCCGTTGCCAGAGTCTCTCCCCCAGTATTGATGGTCTGGGGCAGTCCCACTCCCCAGACCCCATCGGAAAGAGGGCTTCACCAGTATAGGCCGCAGTGTCGATATCAATCTTGTTGATGGTCTCGCCAGCAAGGTCCTTAGCAAAGATGAACTCCACCTCTTGGGCATTGTACGTCTGAGAGCTGTGGAGCCAGAGTCTGAACCCCACTCTCTGGAAGCTCAGACCTGGGCCTTTGCCTCAGCAGGACACTGGGAGTTGAAAGCTTGGAGCCTGCCCCCATATGGCTCCACCCCTTTATCCAGGCTCCATCTCCTTGGCTCAGTTTCCACCCTGCTCAGGTGGTCCCACCCCAGTGATACAACTTTTCCACTCTGGTTCCGCCCTCCCCCCACCCCTTTCCTACCCACAACTTCCAGTCCCCTTAGTAACTCTTCCCACCGGAAAATGAGGGAGCAGTTCTGCCAGTCGAAGGGGAAATAGGTGACCTCCACGGCGCAGGTGCTGCGGTAGATGGCTGGGGGCAACCAGCTCACAAGGCCACCCTCGAGGATCAGCACATTAGCGTCATAGGCCACACCAAACTGGCCATCAATACTGTGGAACCGAATAATCGAGCTATTTGCATAGGTCGGGCTACACTCCTCCTCCAAGCTGCTCCTGCCCTGATTAGGTCCAACGCAGCCCCCAGGCCTCAGTTCCTCTCCAGTCCTCACTTGTTTTCCAGCACAATTTCTGGTAGCCACACGAGTTCTGAAGGGACTCGCAATGCTTCTATTCCCCCAAAGTCATTCTTACTGTAGTTGAGTCGGTAATCATGCCAATCCTAAACGGTGGGGGATGGAAGGAGGTCTGCCCTGAGTCCCACCCCATGCCAGAAAGGAATTAAGAGCAAGAGGCCCTTGGACAAGACCCCATACTGTTCCCCAGCTTTGACTCACGATTCCAATCCAGACGCTGGAAGTGAGGGTCTCCTCTTTCTCATTCTGCAGACAAGAAATTGGGTTGACTAGAGTAAGATTTCAGGGCACTGGGGTGATGGGTGAGCTTTGGGACAAAAAAACATTGGAACAAGAAGTAGGATTTGGGGCCCAGATAGGACTGGGGGTTTTCTTACCAATGAGATGAGGTTGGTCAGGGTGACCTTGAGGGTGATGGTAACAGTGTCCTCTGGCCCCTTCACTGGTCGTCGTTGTGGGTCATAGTTGTGGAAGAGATGTTGATAAAGTTTCAACTCTTCATTCTTCCCGTCACCACTGCCTGGGGATGGGATCCGGAAGAAGGGATATGAGATGAAGAGGCCAGAGGGCCTCTCCTCTCTGTCCCCTGAGTCTGCTCTTGTCTCTGCTTTTTCGGTCTCTATCCTCAAGTTTGTATTTGTCAGTCACCTGAACAACCTTATATCATTCCTGTCTTGGTGGCTGTCTTTGCTCTTGTTTTTAAATTTCTTAAATCTCCCTGTCTGTCCAAATGCTTCCCGCCTCTCCTGATTCCCCCATACCTAGGAGCCCCAAGAGGAGCAGGCCACAGAGCAGAGCCCCTGCCATCCTGCAGTCTGGTACTCAGGGTTATTCTGAGCTTTGCAAGCTGTGTGTGGGGGGAGAAGGGTGTTAGTTCCGGGCTGCCTTAGGGGACTGTCACCTAATACTCTTCTCAGCCCTGCTGCAGCCAGGGACATCTTTCTTGGCTGCTTCCAGAGGCAGCTGCCCTACCCTATGTTCCGCCTCCCCCACCTCCTATCCCAGCATCCTTTGTCTGATTTTCAGCCAGCTCCCCAGTCACAGGCCTGAACTTCTTAAGACCAACCAGAATGATGCAATGCTACCCAAAGCAGTGGGCACCTGGTGAGGGTGCAAGCTGGAAGTAGGGGATGTGGGAAGGACTCTGCTTTCAACATGCACTGGTGTCCTTTGAGTAAGTGGCCCTGTGTGGAGGCAATTCTAATTGGTGCACACATCTGGGGACATGAAGCACCCCTTAGGTGGAACACACATTATCACTTCACAAAACCTTGCCGAGGTTGCATTAATGCAGTTCCTGCCAGAAAAGAGCAAAGTCTCCCATCAAAACCTCACCCAAACTCTATGCTGTGGAGGTAATTCCAACTAGCAATCCTATAGAACCGCCCCATAAGAGTTTCCAAGGCTACAAGGTTTACAAAAGCAGACTGCCACATCCACCCCAGGCTCCTTCCAAGTCTCTCATAAAGACCTGGTGGTGAGCAGCAAGGAAGCCTGATGTCACAGTGGTTAAACACTTCTGAAAGGTTGGTGGTTGGAACCCACTAGCTGCTCCAAGGGAGAAAGACATGGCAGTCTGTTTCCGTAGTAAAGATTTGGTGTTAAGTGCTGTCAAGTTGATTCCAACCTGTAAAGATTATTGTTGTTGTTATGTGCCGTAAAGATTGTTGTTATTTTTAGGTGCCATCAAGTCAGTATTAACTCATAGCAACGTTATGCACAGCAGAACAAAACACTGCCCGATCCTGGGCCAACCTCACTACTGTTGCCACGCTTGAGTCCTTCGATGCTGCCACTTGGCCAATCCATCTCTTTGGGGGTCTTCCTCTTTTTCTCTGACCCTCCACCTTACCAAACATGAGATCCTTCTCCAGAGACTGGTCCCTCCTGATAATATGTCTGAAATATGAGAGACGAAGTTTGGCCATCTTGGCCTCCAAGGAGCACTCTGGCTGCACGTCTTTCAAAACAGATCTATTGGTTCTTTTGGCGGCCCATGGCACTTTCAATATTCTCCTCCAACACCATAACTCAAAAGCATCAATTCTTCTAAGGTCTTTCTTATTCACTGTCCAGCTTTCACATGCCTATGAGGTTATTGAAAATACCACGGCTTGGGTCAGGTGCACCTTAGTCCTCAAGCTGACAATACTTTAAAAAGGCCTTGTACAGCAGATTTGCCTAATGCAATATGTCGTTTGATTTCTTGACTGCTGCTTCCATGAGTGTTGATAGTTGATCCAAGAAGAATGAAGTCCTTGACAACTTC